CAAAGGCTTCGAGGACTCTAGTTTAATCTAGCAAAGCTCAGCTTCTTGTCAGACAGTACCAAAGCCCAGAAACTGACTAAAACAAAGCAATTATGATGGAATAAAAATAGGAGAACTGGTTGTTAAGAAGCTGCTCTGAAAGAGAGACTGATAACCAATATACACTGGGTATCTGAAGAAATTAGTCTTTCTTTTGTCATCATGATGGGACAATTAGACATTAGACAGTTTTGAAAACTGTCTCTAAGCGTTTATTGTGTAATTAAATGATACAATAGGCTGGTTAGTATGCTCATTAGGGCTATGTGAAGGTTCGGTCTGCGATTTGATTTGGCAGAGATTCGGCCCGATTTGGTGGCCAAATCTCGGAATCTGAATAGAATCAGAAGACCCTTTAACTTCTCTTAATCAAATTGGAACCCTCTGAATTGATTAGGAGAGATTCAGACATAGACACAGCTTTAAATGTTTTTTCTACATACCTCTAGGTAGCAGATGGCTCATGAGTGCTACAATGCTGAAGTGCATGGAGTGTCCCACAGACGGGTGGAGGGCTCCCCAGTGAGCTCAGCAGCAGACCCAGAAGTGGACCAGAAGTACTTCTGGTCCACTTCCGGGTTCACCACCGAGCACATGGAGGCCCCCTCCTCCCCCCCCACTCCTGTGGGCCACTCCATCCACCCCAGCATTGCAGTGTTCACAAGCCGCGTTGGTACCTCGAGGTACATCAAAAAACTTGTAAAGCTGTGTCTATCCAAATCGATGATTCTCCAAAGCAGCATCAAATCTTCGGATTCGGCCAAATCGAATCAGGGACAGTGATCCGAATCAACGAGTTGAATTGTTGTCCCTGATTTGGGCCGAATCCGAATCAAATAGGGCCCATTTCATACACCCCTAATGTTCACCTAAGAAAAAATGGGAGGAATTAAGCAACATGGAATTTACTGAGGAGTCATGGGTGATGCACAGGGTGCTGTGGCCCAAAGCCCAATTTAAGAGTAGGAAAACTACAGAATTTCAGGAAAGGTAAGGGTATGAGAGCCATTACCCAAAGGCAGTATATAAAAAAGGTGAGGAGAAAGCTGCTAAGCCTGCAGTAGTGACATTTTCCATCTTCTCTCACATGCTGATAAATATCTAAAAATTCCAAAGCTTCAGCCACTTGTGCCAAATACAACTTTCAGCAGAAGGAAGATTAAACCTTTGCTGACTACAGGTGAACACACCTGTCCTGTGACTGAGTAGCACCTGCTCAGCTGCAACACTCCAGCATGTATTATGCTAAACATACAGCTGTCATGATGCTCATGCCTACAGAGCAGTTTCTGTACGGAAGCCTTACATCTATTATTATGCAGCTTCTATTTATTTTCAGTTTCTAATATATAGAAGGAAACTTTGAGAAACATCCACAGCATCTTCTCCTTAACTTTTAATAACTTTTTGTTTATTTGACTGACTTGCTGTATTATCCAAGCAAGACTCCAATCATGCCAGACCATCAAAAAGCCAGGTACCATTCAAGAACACAAATGAAAGAGAACGGCCTCCACTATAATTCTTTATGGAAAACAGCAAGCCTTCCCTGATGTGGAAAGGTGTTGACTCCTACAGATTTAGGTTGCTTTTGACAGACACTATTGTCACAGCATGAATGCATATCTAGATCAGTGTTTCTCAACCAAGGCCCCAGGAGATCCTTTGAAGGGTGATGCAGGAAGTAATGAGATAAGCAAGTACAGGCAGCTCAAGCTCTCCCAGTCTGTCTGGATGCTCTGCAAGCAAGCAGTTTTTGAAGTGGGATGCTGCTTTCACAAAAAGTTGGGGGGGGGGAGCTCAAGTCTAATGAGGGATGCCTCAAATCTAAAAAGGTTGAGAACTACTGATCTAGATATACTTTAATGATTAGGGCCCTAACAAATACACACCAGAAGTGGGTTGCACTGTGGCTGCTTTAATCTTGCAGGCTCCCCTACGTGCACTGCCCTTGCCACTGACTGGTGCAGGGGGCCCCACTTGCAGCTCACTCCTGATTAGGAGGGAAGCAAAAACCATGGTTTTAAATGTGGCACTGTTTTTGCCTCCGGTCAGCAGCAAGCAGCGGCCCCCACTGGGCCCCTTGGGCAATCAGTTTCAGGAGGCAAAAATGGCACCATATTTAAAACTGCAGTTTTCACTTCCCTGCCGATCATAAGCAAGCTGCAAGGGGCATCCCTCCACCAGTTAGTGTCACGGGGGGAACACACGGGGGAACCTGCAAGATTAAAGGAGCCTCAGCACAGCCCACTTTTGCCATGAATTCAGGCCCTTTAATAATCCAAGCAAAAATAAGTAGCCTTACAACTTAGAATCTATACACATTAAAATCCTAAGACTTTCTAACAAATGGCCACTCTGTTCGGGAGATCTTATTCAAATTCAGGGACTAGATTCTATGAGGGGTTGGATCTTAATTATGTCTACAGATGGAAACATCAGCAAAGGATGCCAGAAGGATACAACTTAGCACTGAACAATTTTTATCCCCACTTCAAAACAAAGGTTTATAATACTTGACAGAAACTTCAACAAATATGGTCAGAAAACAACGTGTATGTGTGATCTTGTCAGTCGAGTTAAAACATAGACCTGAACACTTAATCAAGATCTGATGTCCTAATAATGGGATAGTCTTTTCAAGAAGTTTCTCTCACCTATAACTCAATTTATTTTATACCCCAAGGAAAATTGTGTAATAATAAAGAGGTCACTGAATGAAGTCGATCAGCTGTACTGGTACATGGCCCAGCAAATCTGATCCACTCCACTGGGTGAAACAAGTCACCTGCTGTTTCACCCATTGATCCTGAAGAAAAACAAGCCACACATTCCCTGCTTGAAGAGGCATGCCCAGAGATTCCCCTGGATGCATCTCTAAGCAGGCAAAGCTGGAGTTCCCCACTTGCAGAGGAGCATCTGGAGATTTCCTGGGGCATGTCTTTAGGCAGGGAAAGCTTAGGTTACCCATTTGCAGAGACCCATCCTGGGGAATCCCCAAGGCATGTATTTGAGTGCAGAAACCTGGAGTTCCCCACTAGCAGAGAACAAGCCCCAAAGATTCCCTGCGGGCATGTTCTCTGCCAGTGTGAAACCCCATCTCTCCTCACTTACAGAGGTGCACCCTTGGAGATTCTGAGTGGCACATCTCTAAGAAGGAAAAGCTATGCAGGCACTCCTGGGGCTTCAGGGACCTAGTCATACACAGGAATTCCCAGGGCACAATGGATCAGACTCCTCAAGCCTCAGGAGTACCTGCTTGGCTGGCTGCTCATGATCTCACACCATAAGGCTAACAAACCACCTTTCATCAAGGTCCACAAACTTGGGCATAGACGTCTAACTGCTTTCCCTTTAGACTGCCATTAAAACTGTTAGGGTGGTACAAAGGCAAGGTTTAGCATACACTTAGCCTCACTTTTGCGAATATGGCCTAACTTAAGCCAGAGGCCTATTAAAACTACTAGAATGCAAGCTAAAAATTATTCTAACTTAACGTAACAGCCTACAAAGGAGAAACAGGGTACAGCACCTTCCCTCCATTTGTCCCCAAGACGGAACAAATACAGCAGGGACAGAAAGTCTGACAGACCCTTGCATACGGTGTTTAGAGTGAATAAGTTGCAGAATATTCCTTATACACCCACATCAAGGCATCTTACTGCCTTGCCAAAATTCAGGAAGTTTCAAAGTTTCAACAAAAGGGAGAAAAACTATTTCTGCTTGTGTGCAAAACACTGGGCCTTATAACCTCTGGAAAATGCAGCCACTAGAGGGCAACATATTCACAAACATCAGAAAGGAAGGTATGGAAACTTGTGGCAGCAGCAGTCATCCTTTAGAGGGCAATAAGACTACATACTTCAAAATGGATACAAAAATCACATCTCAGAGAGAGGCACCAAGTATATAACTGAGTAAGAAGAGGATCATACAATTAATAGATTAGCTAAACAGTTCTGAGTTATTCTGCTCCATCTTACACAGTGCAGTACTGCCACAAGTCATTCTAAGTATTCTATTAAAATTCCTCTATGTGAACAATGATCTAATTTTTATAAAAGAGAGTGGAAGAGAATAAACTCCTTAACAAATCTTAAACGTGGGTGTTCTGTATGTGAATAAAGTATGTTACTGAATAAAGGGGGAAACAAGAGAGGGAAAGGAACTAAAGTGGAAGTGATACATCGTTTCACCTACACAGAACCACAAAATGATTATATGCAGATAACCATCCACAAGAACAGTTAGATGCAAGTCAGAGATGCAAATCATACACATTAGTATTAAGGTATTGATCCCAAAACTCCTTGAGCAATAAGCAGCACAAATGGGGAGGGGGGGAAAGGGGTGCACTGGTTCTCTCAAAGGACACTAAAGTGAAGCAACTATGAAGATTCGTATCAACTGAAGAGAAAGATCATGTGTACCTTTCATGTAATTCTCCACAAGAAGCAAGTCACTCTTAATCTCACTGCTTTCCCTACTCTGAAGAATCCAGGGTTAAATTAAAAAAAAGGGAGGGGGGAAGAGGGGGAGGCAAGCACATAATGATTAAGCAGATAAGATACCAAGCTCCCCTTCTACATTAGACAAGAACAATTCAATAATTCACTTACGTGTATCAGGTTCTTACGAGGTTCCCAGTGTGTGGGACATCTTTTTTTTTTTACTGCCTCTACTTGCACAACACATCGCCTCACTGTTCAAAAATCTAGCCCTGTCCAAGTGTGTGTGTACACACCTATGCTGATTTACAAGATATAAAACTAGAAGCATTCATGTGAAGAAATAAAAATAAATTATATATTTATTGTGTGTGTGCATATATTTAAACAAATTGTAAATATATTTTAAATGATATATTTATAATAATATATAAAATATATATGTAACAAATTATAAATATAGTTATAATAAATATCTAATGTACACAATACACGTGTATATATTATTCTCACCTTTTGGAAACTAGTTACAATTCCTGTTGCTAACAGGACACATGCCACACGCCCCTTGCCTGTGGAAAGCTGACTCAGAAGAGCGTAAGCTGAGTTACAAGTTCTAGAAATGACAAGAGAAATACACGGCTGATTAAGTCATTCACTATCACAGTACGGAATAAAAGTGGTGACACCCAAAAGAAGCTCCACATGCAGTCACCGAAAAGACGCGAGCTGGTACAAGGTTCTGGGCAAACCACAAGGGGCTCCATCCCAGTTGCATCTGCACAACGACAGGCACAAATCTAAGTTCAAATCCGTCTCGCTGGGCAGAACGGAGCAGAGATGGCGCTGGGTACAGGAGTGCACAGCTCTGCCCATTGCTTCGTGCCATATTCACAACTCGGGTCTAGACGTGAAGCTCCAGACTGGCGGTTCTCAGCCTGTTCAGCCTCTGGGATCCCTTCTTCAGTCAGCCCTGAACTTTCCCCATTTTTTTACAACGGGAACACAACAAAGTGAGTTTCCCCATGGTGAAGACTGGAGAAAGCCCACACCAGGGGCAAAGGCACCACAGGGTCTTATGTGCAGCCTCTCGGCTTGGTGAGCAAATAAGCTCTGCGCACCCAAAGGCACTAACGCCTCCAGGGGCTGCCAGAGGGGCTTGAGGCACCCCAGGCTGCTGTTGGTAGCCCCGCTGAGAAGCGCTGCTCTGGCAGACAGCAGTTGTGGCGGGGCAGAGACCTGCTACGGGACAAACGACCCGACTCAAAATAAGGGCGCTGGTGGCAGGGAAGGGGAGCCCACCTGAGCACACCTTGGCGGGAACCTCCGCGCAGCACGGCTTGCAGCGCCCTCCCCGGTGCCCGTCGCTCAGGAGGTGACACAGAGGGAGGCTGCCCTTAGCTTTCGGGCCCCGACCCGCGCCCCCACAGCAGCCCCCACAGCAGCTCCCGCCGCCACCCTCGGGCCCCGCCCCCGCCAGAGCTCGCGCAGCAGTGGGGGGGGGGGGGGGG